TGTAAGACTGTGAGAACGGATTATATTCAGTTTTCCAACCGCTACAACAAACTCTGCTTTTGTTCACTCAGGAGACACAACCACACTGAACACAACTCCCCAATAATAAAACCACAAAAACTTTTTTATAAGACAAGGTACCTGAGATTTAAAAAAAGCTATGCCTTTAGAGTAAGATATTTGGAATTTTTGGTTCATTAACATAATCATTTTAAAATATGCAAACTATCAATAGGCAGAAAGGCACTTGGAGAGCAAATACCTCAAACAAGGCTAACACCATTTCTCACAATGTGCAAACCTGCTTAGTAACAAACAGACAAACAAACGCTGATGAAAACGTAACATCCTTGGCAGAGGTAGTTACAAAGACAGAAAACCAAATTAAATCAAAATATTCCTTACGTTTCACAATTGTGATGAAGAGTTCAGATTTAAACAGAGTGAGCCTCCTCTCAGAGGGAGTTTGCTGTTGCAGGGGAGCTGCTGAGGGAGAATCATCTCAAGGCTGTTTGCTGAACTTAAGAAGTTAGAGAGAGAGGAAGTGGCAGTAGATGCAATCTCAACTATTTTCCCTCATGCATTAGTTTTAACAGTAGTCAGACTACCAAACCCAACTGTGGGAAAGTTATTGAATAATTTGGTCTATATTAAAAAAACACACACACAAAAATGGCTGTCACTATTTCCAGGTGAACAAATCATTATGTTTCAGAGTCAGCTTGTTGTATTTATTCAGCTTTGAATGAGTGGCAAATATTTGATGAAGCATTATGTAAATTAATAGTAAAAAAGTAATTTGCTTATTTACGCTAAGTCATTGATTTAATATTTAGTTTAGATGTTTAAATAGCTCTGCAATGTTTTGATACTTGCCTGTTTATTTGTTGGTCGGTTTGTGTGTTTGTTTGTTGAAGCAGGATTAAAATGGTGAGATAGGTCATTTTTCAACATTTGCACCAATTTACCTGGGAAAAATTCATGGATCTTGATGAAAAAAAAATCAAATTTAAAGAACAGATATTTATAAATGTGTATATTTGTGCTGCTTGATTGAATTTAAGGGGACAATCTAATTTAACATGCATCAGATAGACTTGGAAGTGACTGGATGTAAATATTTAGTAATCATTGTTATATAGGAACTAGTTTAGGTTGAGAAATGATTTCAATAAATGATTTGTAAATGTTCACTTGCTAAATGGTATAACGAGTTAAAGTTTGAACTTAGGGAGGGCTGCTGCAGAAGTAGGGTTCAAGTGTGTTAGTACATGAGCACTGTGTGAAATTTCCAAGATATCAACCTCTCTGCTTAGTGCGTAGAACAGACTGACGGTGACAAAGAATGCACACACACACAGATAACCTCACAAGAGTGTGAACTCATCATGAGTCTGGGTCCAGTCCATCTGACAGCTATGCAAACAAACTCAGGAAACCTCAGTTCTCAGAAATCAGGAAAAAGGTCTGTGTGGTGTGAAAACCATGACTTGGAGGAGCTAGCGGCCCAGACGGTGACTCATGACAGGAGACAGTCGTGTGTTGAAAATGATGACAAGTTGACGCTTTACTCATTTCCCCGTGTCTGCAGCCTTGTGGGAGAGGAGAGGAAACAAGGATACCCCATCACCAGAGCCATCTGGTGCCTCGCGACACCCTTTAACCTTGGGGTAGACTGGTGACGCACTCGGTGCACAGAGGAATCCGAGGCATCTCAGCCTCAAATGGACAAACGCAACATAAAGACATGCATTGAGACCCTGTATGCGACAGGTCTACGAATACAGACCCCAGCAGATACCATTCAGATTTAAATTCCCTTAATGTATGATCCTTGCAGACACAACAGCAGACAATAGATTTCTTTACAGCAGACAATACTTGACCCAGCGTTCCCTCTGCCTTGTTAGAGACAACACAGCAGAGTTTTCGGTTCACTGCACATGGATCCTCGCACAAGAGGATGAGCTGGAGATGGAATGTTTTTTTTACTAGTTCTACTCAATAGACAGGCCTCATCTACTGTACCACATGAATGTACCGACCCCCACAGAAGCAGCAGCAGTGCAGCTGCTGGCCATTGTGTTATAGTTTTGTTGGTTGTTGTCCAAGTGAGGCTAAGGAACTTTTGAAAGAAAACTGAAATACATTTTTACTCATACAGAAGAAAAGTTAAATTTGTTAGCATTAAAATGCACCTCTGCTCGTTTCTCAGTGGCGATAAGCACTGATGTGTAACTGACATTACAGTCTGTTAACTAATTTAATGACTAGTATTTTCTTTATGTCTTAATGATTATCATTTTCCTGCAAAGTCACTTGTGACCATAGACTGTTTATTAAGATGGATGATGCGTCTCCACTTTATCCCACTATCCAGAAACGAAGCCAAAATATCTACGATACAAATACTGCCATCTTGTGCAATGACATAAAGTCGAGCCACAGTCTGAGCAATAGCAATCTGGGGATGGAACGGTGGTTTTGAGGCCGATATACATGCTTGACCAATCGTGAGTCAGTCTCAGCTGTCAGTCATGACGTCTCAGCTCGTTTTTATTGCATCAGATAATATTATATACAGTCTAAGGTTGTGACTGGTCTTTTTAAAGTAACTTTTTGATGTTTCTAAAAACAATTAAGCTGTTATTGTGATTAATGTGATTAACACCTTGGCTTTGTATCAATTGGATTTTGCTTTTCAAATACTTAAAAAATTAAATGCATTTTCCTCATGTATCAAATTTTCTTTGTCTCTAAAGGTCGCCATAAAGTCCATCAGAAAGGATAAGATCAAAGATGAGCAAGACCTGGTTCATATCCGCAGAGAAATAGAGATCATGTCCTCGCTGTGCCACCCGCACATCATCACCATATATGAAGGTACAGTATTGAAAACTGTAGTGATTGTATATTTGTTTTGCATGTTTGGGGTTTTGTGTCATTGTTTACCTTTCAGAGGTGACTGAGTCTCTGAGGCACATGCGGAGTGAAATGTAATACCTGGAAAAAAAGATGGATCTCAATCAGCCTCTGTTTGAGAGTCAGAGTTTGGTCACGCAAAGTCTTTGTACTGAGGGCCGACACTCTGTTACATAAGCGTAAGCCTTGTGTCTTCCACTGCCCCTCACGCCTGATGAGATGGTCATCACTGAGTGTTTCTCCTGCTCAGTGTGTTTGTTTGCAGTGCATTGATCACGGGGGCCCAGTTTATCGTAATCAATGTGAACAAGGGGTTGTACAGGAAGATCTGCAATCTGTTCCAAATGCAGAAACATCCCAATACAAATTGACCACAGTGATAGTGCTGCAAATGGCTCTGCACAGTCCAGGTTTCTCTTTATGTTGCAGGTTTCAAAATAAAAAATAAAGCCCAGAAAATGTAGTTTAGTTTTATTTGGTTGATTAAAAACCTTGAATATAGTGTTCTGTTGTTTTTGTGTCTTTCAGTGTTTGAAAACAAGGACAAAATTGTGATTGTGATGGAGTACGCCAGCAAAGGGGACCTGTACGACTACATCTGTGACAAGAGACGCATCTCTGAGCGGGAGGCCAGAAACTTCTTCAGACAAATAGTATCAGCTGTACACTACTGTCATCAGGTAATAAAAAGATATAAAGTTGAAAACAGAAAGTAGAATCTAGGTGGAATCTTATATTGGTAGAGCTCAGTGTATTAGCCTTGTCAAATCCTCACTCTTGGCTGCTACGTCAAAACCTAATGACGCAGAGCTCCACTAGCTGCCCAGATCTTTTTTTTTTTTTCCCGAGGGCACTGGCACCCCCAAAGTTATATAATGGGCATTATTCAGTGTCAGCTCGCTGGTCTGAAAAGCGAGGCTGTGAGAACGATGCAGGGCTAAATGAACAGTTGGTTCTGTGGAAAGCTGGCGTCAGGGCTAAAGGCCAGCCGTCCCAACACACATGCATGGGCTCACTGTTTAATGAGGGTGTGATGGAACAGAAGGGCCATGCATGTGCACACACACACACACACAATCAGTTGTTTCTGCCGCCCAGAGCTGTTTGATAATGAGCGTTTATATTGCAGCTCCTCAGAACTGCATTTATGTTTGTTAAGGAACAATATTTACTGAGTGAACTGTCCTGTCATATTCGTGTGAACCATCCGTCTCATTTCACTTTTACTGATGTCTTGATAAATATTTAACTTTCCGTTTGTAAAGCAGTTATGAAAAGACCGTCTGAACGCCCTCTATCTTATCTGTTTTATGACATGGTGATGAAATCTAAAAATGTGCCCATGTGTTTCTTCAAGTCTATATCTCAACAATGAATGTTACATGACACAAAAGAATGTGTCCGTTGCTTCAACCAGTGCCAATATGCAAGAAGTAGCTGACCTGCATTTTTTTCCAGAGTAAAACAAATGCAAACGGTGTCTGAGTCAAAGGTATTCCCCCCTGCAGAGTGCAGGACAATGAAGCATAGCTGACGTACTAGAAAAAAATCTTCACTTTGTTCTGAAGAATGTGTTCTGACCCAGGAAAGACTAATCCATTTTATGTAAGAGTAAACCAATGTGTAATGACCTTGGTGGAACATTTATCATTGCAAAAAAATAAAATATGGTTATGTATGAATATATGTTTTCTCTTCCCTTTCAGAATGGAATCGTACACCGGGACCTGAAACTGGAGAATATTTTACTTGATGGCAACGGCAATGTTAAGGTATTATTGAGGAACAAGCCCCTGAACATGTAGAAATGCACACGCACACAGACACAGTGTGTGTTACTGTCTATGTCTGAAAACATGAGTCATTCAGATTTGGAGCCGATATTCCATTATTAAGTCAAGACGTGTGATATCTGCTTCTGGGTCCAAGCTCTGGTATTTTCAAGATGCCACACTGTTGTGCCCCTTGTTGTAATCAGATGATGGTGGAATAGATTAAGTACGACAGTGTCTTTTGTCAGTGGATGTTAACGTTAGCGTGCTAGACTAAGCTGGGCAGCATGGAAGAAGTGTGTGAAGACCGTAATTAAGTTGATAAATAAAGTTGAGTCAGTCTTTTTTACCCTAATTGATACCCCACTAAAAAACATATTTACAGGTTCTCCCATTGTTGTTTGCTTGCGGCCTGAATGTTTGGACACAGATAAACTGGTAAACACTGGTAAAGTGGATATAAATGGAATCAGACCACCTCCTTCTCTCTGAATCAGCACAAGGCCTCCGCCCATAAATTCAGGACTATGACAAGGTTCACCTTTCTTCTGCAAGCGCTAAACTTTGGGAAAATGTGGAAGCGAGTCACGCACATATGAGCAAGTATTTTCTACATTAGTCAGAAAAGATGTGATGTTGCGTGTGGAGATTTAGTGCTGTAGCATGTGTGATGAGTAATTAATGATGTGAAGTGATGCAAATTGAAAACTTTTAGGAAGTTGGATATTATTTGTATCAATCTGATAACAGATCTAACTTGGCTCATGTTTCTTGTTCTTGGCAGATTGCAGACTTCGGCCTGTCAAACCTTTACCATGGCGACGAGTATCTTCAAACTTTCTGTGGAAGTCCTCTCTATGCCTCCCCAGAGATTGTCAATGGTCGGCCGTACCGTGGGCCAGAGGTGGACACTTGGTCTCTTGGTGTGTTGTTGTATACTATGGTTCATGGCACTATGCCATTTGATGGAAACAACCACAAGATGTTGGTTCAGCAGATCAGCACCGGAAACTACCGGAAACCAAATAAGCCCTCAGGTGAGTTTTTCAAGGTGGAAGACTTATTTTGTTGTGTATACTTTGCTTTACAATTTATTTTGTGACATTTTCAATCTTCCTTTTATTTCTAATTTCTCTCAGATGCATGTGGGCTTATACGTTGGATGCTGATGGTGAATCCTGAGCGAAGAGCCACAATAGAGGAGATTGCCGGACACTGGTGGCTCAACTGGGGTTACCAGCAGCCTTTACTGGCAGAGACAAAGAGCAGCACAGAAGAGCAGACCTCCTCGCCAGTCTCTACATCCACATCACACCCTGCGGGGCTGGCCAGCGTCGCTAGTTGGCTGCGTCGCACATCCAGGCCTTTGCTGGAAAACGGCTCCAAGGTGCGCTGCCTGCTCCGCTCACAGGTTGGTGGAGGAGGGGACGTAGTGCGGCAGCGATCCCTGCGAAGATCACGAAAGGAAAACAACATCACCCAGACCGTTCACGAAGGCAGCACAGACAGTCGTCCCTCAAAGGGGATTCTAAAGAGACGCAACAGTGTGAAACAGAAAGCGATTAGCGAAAGCCCAGTCACTGGTCCAGTGGAGCCGCAGAGTATTTGTGGCTTGTCCGCACCATCTAATGCTCCTTCAGCTGAGTTAGTCCCTCGCAAAGGTATCCTGAAAAAGCCCACTGAGCAAGAGTCAGGCTACTACTCGTCCTCTCCTGAGAACAGTGACTCTGGCTGGGTACTAAAAACTAAACAGTGCCCTTCAGCGCCAACCTACAGGAAGGGCATCCTGAAGCGAAACGGAAAATTCTCCACAGGCGGGCTGCAGGAGTTTGGCTCTCTGGACCAGCTGGCAGCTTCTTTACCGCATGGGGCCTGCAGGTCGAGACCAAGTGGGGCCATCAGCGAGGACAGCATTCTGTCCTCAGAGTCCTTTGACCAGCTGGATCTGCCAGACCGTGTGGGACCATCCACACAGATGGAGAAACCAGCCAAGGCCAGCATGAGAGGGAGCGTGTCTGCGGACAACCTGCTGGATATCCAGGAAGATGGGATTCTTGAGGATGGGCTGCGGAGGAACTGGAACTGCTGCTATGAGTCCGGAGTGGCCGACAGCGCCTTCTCCATCACCGACTGCGATAATGTAACAGAGCCGTACAAACAGGCCTTGGCTATACGAGGCTCCGCAGCAAGCTGAAGACGCACCATTAGTAAAGGACGCTGACGAAAGAATTGTCTTTTTATCCAGTATTTTCATTAAATGACTCAACTACTGAAGACATGACAGCCAAAGTGCATCATGCGAAACTACCAGTGCGTTAAATCATTTTTTGGCTTGAATTGCACAGCACCAAAAAGGGAGGAGGCATCTTGTTAAACACCAGATTGTATTTAAGATGGTGGACAATAAATGATGCGTTCAAATATAACCAGAGGGCACAGTGTTTTTTTACAAAACTGACGTGCCATTGAAAAAGTCAATTTCAAAGATTCTCAGGAGAAGAGGGCTGCTGTTTATCAGTTGGGAACATGAGAGCAAATTCACAATGAAACCAAAACACTGGTCTGAGTTTTCAAAACTTTTACTTAGTAAATTAGAAAACTGTCTTTTGACAGAATCACAGTAGAACTTGGGTTGAATATCGCTTTTATTGCTTAGACTGCAGAATACTTAGTGTGTGTCGGTTCAGGTCAGTTTGAAAACTTCTTAGTTTCATCGCTCTTTTGGATTCTAGATTTCTGGTCATTGATCACATGTCAACTTTATGTTTCTTTAGGATCACAGCAATATCACAGGTTTAATGTTAGGACTGCTTCATGCATCATATAAAACAGATTTCAATGAGTTTTAAATGACATTTCATGGAAACCAAAGAATTCATGTTATTGCATCGTTTTGTTCGTCTTTATTTAAAGCGCTAGAAAAAAGTGCCAAGTGGACGTTTGTTTGTTTGTTACAGGGACTTCAGCTCTCAGTGTTTTTAAATCTGCTTTTTTAATCATTTGTTTGGATAATGACTTGAATAATTATCATGGCACATTTGAGTCATGACAAGTGTAACCAGCAGAACCGGCTTTGAGCTCCTAACCCTGCGAAGATATTAAGTGCACAGGTGGCCTCTGACTCTGTGTGTGCAGGTGGCGGTGTTCACAGGAGAGGTGGGGCAGTTTAAGTCCAATTCGAAGGGCAGAAGTTGGAATTTGAAAAACAACAACTTGCATTTGAAAGTAAACCATGAGCCGCAGAAAACTGGTGCACGCTGTCTGTAATGTGTCACCTTTCAACTGAGTTTTGAGGATCAGTCATGGAGCTCGGGTTGAACTTTTAATTTGAAAGCCATTGTAGATTAAAAGTTAACTCTGCTGCATCCTGATGGCTCAAACTGGTAAAACTTATATTAGATTCAAAATTACAAATCATGCAGTCCGATCATTATGTTTGACAAGATGGTGTATTTCACGCCACGTTTTAAAGTTATCTGGTTCCTGTTTTTTGAAATACCCCCTGGTGGTCAGAGATGGGTACATCAGTATTCTGCTGTTTGATGATTGGTTAGTACATTGAGCCAGGGCCTAGAACAGCACTTTATCCAACCATCGAAACCTGATAACCATACAATTCATTTACCAGCTGTCATTTGAGTATTACAACCATATAACACGAGTTGCCCAACATGCTGTTTTTTCGAATTCTGAATGTAAAGACTTTTTGGCACACCATGAGGCTCAACCAAGGAAGTCCCTAATCCCAACTGGAATCTGGAGGATTTGTATGAGCTTTTCTTATTATCACAGATAACTGGTTTATTTTATAGTGATGTGTGACACAGGGAAAGAATGGAGTCGTTTATGTATAATTTAATGTGCATCTGGCTCTGCTTATATTTTTTTTTTCTCTGCAACAAAAACCTTGTTTGCCAAAGTGAACTGGCTTATCATTTCTATGAGTATGTGATCTGCCAAGTTATTGTGCCCGGTCTGAGGAAATCAATAAAAAAAAATGACAAAGAACTCTAGTGCTGGTTAATGTTGTTACTGATCCTCTGCACATATGCATGTTTTATATCACAGTGAAACATTCATTTAAACAGAAACGAGCATATATAAAACTAAAATTACAATTTCAGCAGAACCCAGACAAATGCAAAATACATATGAATAGAAAATGATGCAAACATTGCTGTAAGGATTAAACTCTCATTAGCACAAAATGGTAATAAAAATGTCTTTCAAAGTTGCAATTATAAAACACAGCAACAGGATGAACATTTAAAACAGATGTCAACGCCAACTCGGCCTGGCATTTAGGCCTCTCGTTCTATGCTGCACTTTTAATATTTATCTGGTCTACTCAAGGCAGCAAGGAGTTTTTTTGCAACCTTTCCTGGAGAGATGTCAGCAGTGTCAATGCAACGTCTTGAATGTCAGCAGGGGTGGAGCTGATCTCTGAGCTGCGTGATCTCTATCTGCAAACACTGTCCTGAGAGTGGAAGGGCAGGCTGAGCTCCAGCACACTCCACAGCTGATCGTAGCAGAGAAGGAGCGAGTTCTGTTCAGGGTCAGATTTAAAAACATAAGCATTGAGTCATGAACACACTTACCCTTATGGATTTTTACCAATATCAGTTTGTTTGTTCTTCTCCGACTGTTTGATCAAAGTTCTTGCAAAATGATCACAAACACGCCACTTAGTTCTGACAACAGGGCAAAGTCAGGAGAGATAATATCTGAAAATGTCAGTTAAACATTAAACTTACCAGATCAATGGCCAAAAGGTTGGCCAAAAACTTCATGGGCCAATCAGAGGAGACGGCAGCGTCCTCTAACTTTACGCTCTGCATGGTGACGCTCACACAGGCACAGGCAACAGTGGAGGGCAAGAATGTTGAGAACCTGTGGTCTGAAGATACACACAATGTAAACAATACCGGCTCGGACTATTTAACAGTGATAACAGCGAGAAAGTCAGTAAAAGTTAGATGTTTGACATACAGACAGATGGATGCCTCCATTATAGACACACCCTGACAGACAAAAGGAAGAACTCAGAACCAGGAATTTCCCAAAACCTGATAAACTGATACAATATCCTAATTGCTTGAGGCAGGAGGAACACTGAGACAAAAAGTCAGCCATTCAATCCCTCCTCAGACACATTTTGAATGGGTTTACACTGTCGGGAGCCGGGAATCGTCTTCATTTTATGGGTTGTAATGTCATTGTGTGTCTAAACCAGCTCTAACTGACTGGGATCTGTTGCCTCGGGCAGCATCACAGAGATTTGTGGGAAATCAGCCAGCTGAAAGGTCGGGGACGCAGGTCTTTCACAGCAGACAATACAGGATAACACAAACTCAGCTCTCTGTCTCCTAAATGAACTGCTGACACATCGTAATCAAAGCTTTGCGTCCATTGTTCACCACGTGGAAAGTCATTAAATTTCACCAGTCACCTTCAGTGCTCACTAACAAAAAAATTTTCTCATTCTTTCTATCTTTTATAAAGGGTGCAATATTGCTTTTATTGCACTGGAATAATAAATTGGAATAATTGAATGCAGGAAAAATTACGCATTTTGCCAACTGTTACATTTTATTTGTAAAAACCATCTCAAGTGTTGGTAACTGACTTACGTAACTCACCAGTGGCGGCCAGAGCAACGTAGGAGTGAAAACGCCTGCGCACGTTTGGGAAGTGGGGGGGCCGAACAAAGGGGAGAGCATGGAGAATCGGCTCAAGGAAGTCAGAGGGAACCACGGAGGCCAGACACCAGTCCAACCTGGACACCACCTCCATCTCCCAATGCTGCAACACACACACACACGCATGCACGCACGCACACGCACACACATTCCTATCAACCAAGCCACCATCAAAAGGCCCCTGCAATAACACTTGCACAACAGATGTACTGATACCAATTTTTCCTTCCTGAGTCTGATACCTGGACTTTGGACAATTCTGAGCTCTGATCTGATGCCAGTGCATTAAGTTTATATCTACAGTATCTAGTTTGGCATTCATACCTGAAAATGAATAGACAAATCTACAAATACACAAGAATGAACTCGACAAGTGTGTTTGCTATCTCTCTTGCTTTGTCTTATTGCACAATTCAAATTCAGTTTCCAAAGTTTGCTGCTGCAATTCGTCCTCTTTTCCCTTCACCTCGGTGAAGTCCTTGTGCTCTCACGTGTGATGGTTTTTCAAATGGTAAATGAGATTGTTAGTGATGTCATTTAACAATACTATAGTGCCTGCCCCCCCTTTATATCAGGACTTTATATCCTGCATGTAACTGAGGTAGAGGTGAGCTCTTTACCAGGATGTCTGACGCTGTTATCGAGTTGTCTGCGTAGATGCAGAGCATGCTGGCAGTCAGGGGGACGGTGTCTCTCATCTTGGAGGCCAGAGACATGCAGACAGTCCCTAAAAGCTGCAGGTGGTTCTTGTCGATGGCGCATGTGTTCAGGTACGAGTCCAGGTAGTGGGTGGCCAGCGGGAACACCTCCTGCTCACACTGCTGCTCCTCACACACCTGCCAGGCACAAAGACACTAGAATCAGATACATGGCGCTGGCTTGAGTTTGGTGACAACATGGACGAGTAGAGCACCTGTAACATCCACACCACCAGAGTCCTCCTCATCTTCGGCTTTACGTCCGTCGGCACTCTGTCTGAGTCGGGGGGAACGTGGCCGGGGCTCTCCAGGGCCGCCAGGGTGCGCAGTGCCCGGGGGTCGCCGGTCACCGCGGGGTCGCTGTGCGCCCGGATCATCCTAACACGGTCCGTTTCCCCGGTGACTTCCGAGGAGCCATTTTGAAGCTGTAGATCCATTTGCACAGACACATTCAGTGTGTAACGAGAAGTTACGACAATCCGAGGACCTGGCTGCTGACAAATCTAACTTGAGTTAGCAGGCTAAGCTAAAGGCCGTCAGAGCGCTCACACCGCCGCCATCTTTAAAAGGATCCGAATGTGACAAATTGTTTTTTTAATCAAATACCAAAACTTTATTTCTGCTGTCAGAAAAAAACACATTTAGTGTTTGCTCCTTCGCCATTAATGCAAACAGATTAACAGGACTAAATGTTGAATGTAATCAAATACCCGAAGCTCAAACAGAAGCTTTAAGTTATTTTTCAGGTATTGACTGTAAGACATTTTCTACATTGTTTTTTTTAATCAACAAATTATTTATCATTATCATTATTAATGACTTGTGCTGTGATCATTAATAACATCACATCTATTAATATCTGTTTCTCCTCTCAGTCCAACCGGTTGAGGTAGAGTTCCGATCACACCTTGTCTGAGGTTTCTTCCTGTTAAAGGGGAGTTTTCTCTCTGTGCGGGAACTGTTGAATTATATAATTGTTATGTAACTTGATAGCAAATTAAAAATGTCATCAGGAATTATTTATTTGTTGCCAAAGCAACAATAACATCATGATAATTCAGATTACCATGCAACCCTAAAACATAAATAAGTACCACACCCTCTCTGAGCTACTCACGTGTTGTCGGCCATCCTTCGTTTCTGTTTTGAAATCTTTACTTTTTTATGTATTTCTTAAAAAGTTGCAAACTTCAAATGTTGAGACACAAACGATCCCTGACCAACTGTGAAGGATTCAGTTTGGTTTTTAATCCAAATATTTGCAACACAACTTCATTAAATGAACACAAATACCAGTCTTTGTATTTCCAGGCAATGACTTCACTGCAACAGATTCACGATATGAAAATATGTCATTGCTGATGGGCATTTTTAACTGTGTGATCTCATCTGAGCAGAAGAACAGAATTATAGCTCTGATACAATGTAATGAGTCACATCTTTGAAACTGTCCTTTCACAGAACAGGAAGATCAATGAAGTCAGCTTTAATAAATCTGTCTCCATGCTGAAGAAAACATTATTCATTTGCATTAGAGGAGGAGGAGGATGCACCAGACTGGGCTGAATCCTCAATCCATTTCCACTGTAACAGGAAGCCCGATCTCGATATCCCGTGACTCTGAGTTTTGCAGTTCTCTGCGAATCTCTGCGGTGACCTGAGGGTGTGTTTGTATCTTAAGCAGCTCCAGCAGTGCTGTCTTCTGTTCATAGGCCAGGTCAGCCTTGTAGCGCTGAGCCAGGGTGAGTAAACTCTGATGCCACAGAACAGGAAGCACACGTTTTTCATTGCGGAAGGACAGGAAGTGGGCCACCAAGGCGTCTAGGACACGGAAAGGCAGGGCGTATTTTTTGTCAAGCAAGAGACGCAGGAAAATGCTGTTGGCGCCGTTATACTCCATCTCTGCCAACTTAAGCATCGCAGCGCTGAAACACAAAGATTGTTCATGTTATACAACTTTTCATGTTATGTAATATTGACTTTGCTTTAACTAGCCAAAAAAAAAACAATAAAAAGGACGACCGGTTAAACCGAAAGGTTAACGATGCCAACATCTGTCTGCTGGTGTGTGTCAGGGAAAGGAAACCTCACCTAGAGTGGAGCACAGGGATTGAGCACTTTGTGAGTATGCTGCCGATGATGATGGCTTCCCTGAGAGTACATGTCCCAGATTCACACAAAGGAATCAGAATACCTGTGTGAGAGAAGCAGTACAAAGTATTAAAGAGTATTCCTGCAGTGCTGAACTTCCATTAGATGTTGGACGGATTTTTTGAAAAGGTCAGAAATTGATGCAGGAAAACCCACAATATGGGTAAAGTTCTAACAGCTCAGAACATCTTTCACACTTTGTATCATAAAGTGTGAATAGGAAAGCTTCTCACATTAATGACTTGCAAGTGTTCAGATCATTGAAGAACCCATGAAGGCAGCATGACTGACGGAGCTGGCTGTACACTGACAATACCAGTAACACTAAATCCATTATGGAGTGCCACACTGAAGATTACGTCAAGAATTCATGCGAGTTTAGTTTTCAGGCCCATCCATATTGTTATGCAACACGTCGGATACTGTATACTGTAACAGTGAACACAGAGAGCTTGGTTTTACACCCTCATTGCATTTGTGATGCAGACTTTCTGTTTGTAGATATCTGGTTATATTACAAGAGGAATTTCCTCTTTGAGCCAAAGAGCACATTACACAATGGCTGTTCTTCCAGTGAAAGGTAATTAGACTTTGATCGATGAAACCGGTTCAGTGACCCTTTAATAAAAACTTAGCTTGTACTTCATGTACATGCACAATATTAAAATAAGATTTACTTTGATGCAGACTGTTAAAAAACAGTCATATCCAGTTCTAATTTTGAAGAAGTTGGCAGTTTAACAGTTTCTGCACTGACTACAATCTAATACCAGAGGTGAAATAATGCTACACTGTACATAAACCTCAGTCACTAGTGGGCAACTTTGTTTGCTTTTGTCATATTTGCACAAAACATGACACAAACCAACAAAACCAAAACTAATCTTGTAGAAGAAAAGCTTTTTTGGGTATGACTATTGCATTGTTTCAGAACCTGCATTGTATGTATAACATGAAAAACATAAAACCAACTGTGTTACTCCTAACTCATTCAACAAATATTTATTTTGTAAATCTGCAAAATAAATTCCCCTTAAAAAACAGAATAATTAATGGTAAATGCTGCCCTCTAGTGGTAATTTAGCACCCCCCCCACTCATTCTGAAAGTGGTAATACAGTTCATTGGTGTGTGACACTGCCACTTAGTGGTGTTATCTCACACTGGTGGATTTCAATATATGGGATGGGTATATATACTGGATGTTTTGGGAAAACCGTTCTATCAAACTGGGACAAACAGGACTGACGAGATTAAAGACAGAAAATCATCTTCAGCAACCATTGGCCGAATGAGATTCTAGAAATGTGAAGGATGAGTTGACCCAAATTTAGAGTGTGTTAATTACTGTGCTTCCAGAACCAATGGTGTTATTTACCCTGTGGACACCAGATAATCCTCAGAATAAAAATTCTAAATTTAGTGCAGAGATGAGAAATGTGACATGTCCCAGAAAGCTCATATTTTCTTCCTCTGTCAAATCCTCTTATTCGTTCACTGTCCCCACTTATTTTGAAATGTCGAGTGTGAGTGGAGCTTAGCCCGGCATTCACTGAGCATTCAATGACACACAATGACTGTCCACAAGCCTGCAAGGCAGATCAGGATTTCAGCTAAACAAAATGCTTGAGCTCATCATTGATTTTCAACAATACTAAGGACGGGTAGAGGAATATGACTGATGGTGATGGACAATCAGGCTTTAATGAACAATTCAGATTCACATTTTACTCTAAGCTTGTCCTCTTGTGTCAGAGGACACAGGATTTTAGTTTCCATCTCACTGGGAGAACTATGAAAAATCAGAAACAGTCCTCAACAATGAGGTAAAAATACTAAAGCTGCATTGGGAATTAATTTTGATTAACAACTAGAATGGCATTCAGTAGATTATGAGGCCCAACAGTGCCTTTATGAAACTACTTTTTTGGTGGATCGGCAACCAATTGCACACACACAATCATAAATATCGGTCCCATAAACATGATTGATCCATAAATTATTTTCAGAGAAATTTCCAACAATGTTATATATCTTGCTATGTTAAAGAAAGTGAAAAAAATAGATCAAGATGTCTTTAAGAGTTGTCGGGTGTGTTTTTTCGCCTTGGACAGAGTTAAAGTGTGTCTCCGATGTAACGCTCGGTTGTCTCACCTTTAAACCAGGCTCCTGGTTTGAACAAGGCTTTTTTCAGGGCACTGTACAGATGGAAGTTGAGTCGCTTGTACTCTGCAATATCATCTCGTACTCTGGGCAGCAACACCAAGTTGTAAAATCTCTGGGCCATTCGTTCTTTCAGATTGGAGGAGAAGATTCTATGAGAAAAGCAAAGAAGAGTTAATTCACTGTACTGTGTTAAAATATCATCATTCTATGTCTGTTATTTTAAATAACACTCTGGGGGCTCACCTTGTTGCCTGATACATGGCAGCAGCTGTCCAGGTTTCAGGCTCAGTCAAATATAGAACCTGCTCCCAGTTTGCAAGTGCAGGGATTATTTTAAAGGCCTTTGGTAATTTACCGCTGCGATATCTTGACAGAACCTGAAGCAAAACAACAAAAAGTATCTTTTAATTTAATACTTAACACTAAGAATCCCATTGGTTATTGCAAAACAATGCAATTCAATTGAACTATTAACATGAGGACTCATACAAGATTTGAGCAATGAGTAAATATATGTTTGTCCAGGTATATCAGGCAGAAATCACATTGTCATCATTGTGAGCTAGTTACTCATGGGTATCTTAATGTGTTGGTTTTTTTTGCCAACACAAGCCTGAAGAAAAACTGTGATTACAAATCAAGACCACCATTTACACCAAATGCTGCCTGTTGGGGGCGATGCCTCATGTGTCACTCTGAAATCTCCTACAGGTGCTGAGTTAAGACGATCCTGTGACTGCGCGAGCCTTGATCAAGTGATTTTTATTCAGTGACTATGATGTGCCCTGTACGAAATCATCTGACTTTATGTTCCTCTACATGTTCAAACATTTGTTCACCTGTGCAGGTACAGGTACTATGTTTTAGGACGACTCACCTTATTGACACCTCTGTACACTTCTACTATCCTCGGGTCCAACTGGGGCATCGGACATCCCGACACCTCTGACATCAGAGTTCCTACCTCGGTCTGCTTCTCTGTGATCTTCTCCATGATGATATCAGCCAAGGTCCGTCTGAGAGAGCCATGAAAATAACACAGAAGCTCAGCATTTAAAGAAGATCATCTACTTTGAATCATTTCAGTGCACAGATACTTCTGAGGTTAAGTCAGGCTTGTTTCGTGGCTTGCCTCACTGGCGGGTTCTTATTCATGAACATCTCCATGGCCTTCTCGTCGTCAGGGTCAACCACGATCTCTGTGTCACACTCAGCATCGCTGTCTCCAGCACCTGCTTGTCCCAGTGCTGGCCACTCCTCATCTGAATCTGCATCCTGAGAGCCAGACCCTAAAGTATGATGACAAGACATGGTCACACATATGTTAACAAAATACACCTCACGGTCGAGTAACGTTTGTAAGACTAAATTCTGATGGCGCTTTACAATATCAAACATAATCAATTCGCACACATGCAGGATAAAGATAATCACAAAAATGATTATCTTACAAAAATTTTGAAACTAGCAGTAAAAAACTAATTATAGTAATGACAGTGGCCAAAAGTGCATGGTTAATCAAACATTACACCCATAGGTATGTACTGAACATTTCACTCCTGAACCATGGGCATCAACATGCTGCTTGCTACAAAGGGCCTCAACTCTTCTGGGAAAGTTTCTCCCAAGAATTTGGAACCTGGCAAAAGAGATGTGGTCCTTTACAGCAGCAGGAACATTAAGAGGTTGGCCACTGATGTTGGGAGATAAAACCTTGCTCTCACTTGTCCTATTAATAACAGATGGGGATGGGGTCAGGGTTTGTGCAGCACTCTCAAACTTAGAAATGTGTTTAGTGGCTGTAGCTTAGGAGTGGGATGTCCACTGAGGTTCTGTGGTTCAATCCCGGGCTCCTCCAGTCTGCATGCTGAAGTGTCATTGGGCACTGAATCCCAAATTGACTTTGACGGAGCGATTCCATTAGAGAGTGAGTGACTGCGGATGAATGTGGAGCATTAAGTAGTGTTGTATGAATGGATGAATGTGACTTAGCATTAAGTGCTTTGAGAGATAAGATATACTGTACTCAAGCAGAAGAAATGATATGATAGATGCTTCTATTAACATTTTCATTATTTCAATGTTTCTATCATTCATGTCCAATAGGAGGAAGGAGAGATCAATAAGGATTCTTCAAGTTGTTTTACTCTGAAGCCCCTTGAGAGATAAATATATGGTCATTTGTGTAGCATCAAGGTGTCTCTTTACCCGAACCAAGTGATGAGTGTGTCCAGAAGCTGAAACAACAGCAGAAAATCCAAAGAGCAAAGTGTCCACATACTTTTGACCATAGTGTCATTTAAACTATGTGACCAACACAAACATTAAATGAGTAGTTCTATTTAACGCCTGTTAAATAATAACTAATTCTGTTCTTGTGTCCTGCCACACCAGTCTTCATTCACATTTCTGTCGATTTAGTGGCTCTCGTCCACAGGTTTAAAAGCCACATGTACCACGAAGCAGCAGATAGTTGGTGGTTGTATTTACCGAGGACAGTGACCGGTGTCTTCTTCTTCTCCGGTGCCACACCATACTCGGTCTGCAGCTCCTCTTGCTGGATCCGGGCCTGCTGTAAGATCTTCCTCGACAGTCGCTCGTCCACGTACTTGTCCTCGTTCTCTTCCCGGCTGTCCCTGAGCTTCACTCGGCCCCGGGCTCGCACCGTGTCGGCCTGTAGGATCTGGTCAGCCAGCGTCACGGCTGCTGCTGCTCCTCCACCTCCTCCTCCTCCTCCTCCTCCACCTCCTCTGGATCTCTTCACTTTCGGCATCTCTGCACGTTGACAGTTACAATCTTGTTGTGATGTGTTAGCATGTGCTTGCTAAGGTCTAAAAGGAACAAGCACTGTAAACAGTCACAGCTCAACACGTGCAAGTGGCCATATCAGGAAGTGACGTAAGCTGAGTCGCGTCAAGTAAAACGTCCGTCACCTAGCAAAAATAACAAGTTTGCATTTTTGTTAGTATTAAATGACTTTATTTTTGGAACTACATGGATTTAGTCAGTAGAGTTTGTTTAGTATATAATGGGTATTTCAAATAAATAAAATACGCTTATTTTAATTTGCCGGAAGCTCAACGTATAACCCGGAAGTAGTAAAAAGACTCGGCTAGGGAGGCAAAACATCAATGGGAGTCACTTGGTGAGATTATGACTTTATGGTTTTAGATATATTGAAATCAAAAGAAGAAATGATATTTTCAACATGTTAAGTCTAATTTACACACGGCTCAATAATCTTCTGCCCCTCACCTCAGTCACTGTACATTATACTTGTATTCACTCGATGCTCTGGTGCAGCACTGATAACGTTACATGACGATGATGATGCTGATGTTCAAGTGTGTGTGTGTGTGTGTGTGTGTGCGCGCGTGTGTGTGTGTGTGTGTGTGTGTGTGTGTGTGTGTGTGTGTGTGTGTGTGTGTGTGTCACAGTGTGTGTCAGGTGCCTGTGGCGGAGGGGAAGAGTGTGCAGCAGACAGTGGACATCCTGCACAAGAAACTGGAGCAGCTGGGTGCAGTGAAGCAGGGCAGCTTCTGTGTGGACTGTGAGACCTACCATGCCACAGGAAATGTCAGCGGTAATATTTATTGACTCAATGCTTTGATGTGTATTGATGAGCGGTGCTGGACCACTGCAAAGACCAGTGGATAAAAATGTGCGTGTTGTATGGTGAATGCATGGCAGTTTCCCTCAAATCAACATGTCACCTATTAATTTGTTGCTTGATTTTGAATTTCTTATGCATTTTCACCGTCCCCATTTTTTTTTCAATCAATTTTGGTTACTCCTGTTTGTCATGCAGCTGCAGCCCTAATCACAGTAAAATTATACATTAAACATGGATGTTCCCAGTTATGGTATTTTACAGTCAAGTAATATTGGAATTTTTTTATGGACAATTTGTATAATGACACAATTTTCGACAGCCAAAGTGTTGTTCTGCATTGTTTATCCTGGAAAATAAAAGTTTTCATATCGGCAAACATAAACACAGATACAGATGTGACAGGCTCATATCAGCTGCTTTTAATTTGCAAATCAATAAATTGTTCGGGCTCTGTTTAAATGTTTATCTCACCTCATAGTCTCACAGCTTCGGTGCTTCTTATTTGACTAAAGTCAGTGTTATTTTTTAATAGAAAAGATCAAAACATCTGTCAGATGTGAAATAGATTTTCTTACAAAGTGGAAGAATTCAGTAATGTGACATGAGTAAATAAACCTTTTGTTCTCTTTCTGTTCTGTCAGGTCAGCCCACCAAGCTCTTATACGTGATGCACAACTCTGAAACTCCCCTGAGCTGCTTGGCTCTGTTTGAAGGTGGACCGTGCCTTGTAGCGGATGCAAACTTTGATGTCCTCATGGTGAAACTAAAAAGCCACTTCCAGAATGCCAAGGGGCACAAGGTGGAGTGTCGTGGTTCGAGATACCGCTACTGTGACTTTTTGATAAAAGTTGGTACTGTGACAATGAGCTCCAGTGCCAGAGGAATATCAGTAGAGGTATATTCTCTCATAGTTTCATCCTAATAGTGAGAGTGGAGACGTTACATCTTCCCACTGTGACTGTATTGACTTGCTGTGTCTTCACAGGTGGAGTACTGTCCCTGTGTGGTTCCAGGAGACTGCTGGAATCTCATGAAGGAGTTCATGCAGTCCTTTCTTGGTCCCAGCATCGCTGAGCTGCCGTCTGTGTTTGTTGCCAAGCCTGAAGGCCTCTTCGCACCAGCTGACTGCGTCGACACCATGACTCAATACCTGGAGTTGTTTAACAAACTTCGTAAAATGCAAATGCCAGGAAGTAATGTGCGTTGAACTGTCACGTGTTTTTGGAGAGATTTTTTTATCTTTGTATTGATGTTGCTTTGATTCTGGTCCTATGGATATGAATGATATCTGGGTATTTTTGAAAGCCCAGGATTTTTTATTTCTATTTCTGGAGCCTCAATTGTGTTACACCCCCATTTGATGAAAACATATTGTATTAAAGAGACCAAGTAGAGAAAAGAAGCCAGAATTTGTGTTTCTGACTGTTAACACTGTGCTAATCCATAAACATACAATGATGAGGCACATATGAATATTTCAAATGTCTTAGTGGCTTTATTTCTCAAAAGCTTTAATGTGCTTTTCAATATCTGTAACATATGCAGCATTTTTAACATAAAGGGAAATGACGAATAATTATTTGTTTTGGTTTATCTCATTTGATTTCCTGAAGCAGGTAGCGACTATTGTCAAATAACAGGAAAAACATTGAAATATATACAAGGAGCCTATGTCAGTGTCTGAGAATCATAGAATGAATGACGCAATGTTACTGGGCACAGTTATGATGGATCTGATCGCTTCACATGACTCAATAAGCCACTTAGCTAAGAACTGCTATCAACTGTGAATTACACAAGAATAACTGAATTCATTTTATTAATGAATATAGCCACCATTCATTTTGTTATTTACATTTCTGCTTCTCCTACAGTGACATATCCAAATGTGAATTTTGAAATATTAAATGAAAATGATCAACTTTGTATACACACCCATGCAGTCAGGAAGAGAAAATCAGGTAAAATAATACTTGTGCAAAAGGGTCATGGGATTTACGAGGTCTCTAAAAGACACAAAATAAAGAAAACTATTCACAAATATAACGTGTAAAATTTGAAAGGGACCATTATTCTGTGTTCTTCAGGAAAGAATCTGAATACTCAGGCAGGTCAAAATGTGCACTGTAAAAGAGCTTTATTTGAAATTGAGATATATAAATACATGAAGAAAATGACAGGCACAAACATATAGGCCCACAAGAGTTGATGTCCATTAGTGCTGATTAAAAACTCTGAATGTTTGTTCTCTTTATTTGGTTAAATGCAACACAACAGGTTTAACATGACAGATGTTACAACAATGGGAGATGAGACAGAAGGAGAGTCAATACATTAGATTTGAGTGTGAGAGAGATGGCATTAGGTTGTGTAGAATTCATGTGTATGTGTGAGTGTGTGCGCGGGTGTTGTCAAAAGAGACTCAAAATGAATCAAAAGGTCAAAAGGTGGAGAAAAAAAACTTTTTCCTTAATTTCCTCTCTTCCCCCTCTTCTTTCTTTGTCCTCTTTCTTCTTCTTTATTTATTTATCAGAGGGGAGTCTAGTGTTGTTTGTAATTTTGGTAACACTTTAGTTTAGGGAACACAATGTTAGCCACTAATACATGAGTAATAAGTGTATGTGTTAATGATCAATAAGATCTGCATTAAGCATCACTACATATGTATTAGGTATTTATTCAACAATTTCTTATTCTTACTGAATAGGTAATTTATTCTTGACAAACCCTTAATAAGCAGCTAGTTAGTCTTGAGGTTAAGTTGCTGATATATAGTATGGATCAAAGTAGACTCCTAATACATTGTCGCAATATGTTGCTACTCTGTCTCAATTGGTAGTATATTAAGACAGTGTATAAGGAGTCTATAGCCTCTTTATTTTGACCCATACTAAATACTAATAACTTACGATCATGGCCAACTAGTGGCCTTCTAAGGATTTACCAAGAATAAACCAGTTGTTAAGCAAAAATAAGAATGTGTTCAATTAAGACCTAATACATGTATGCAGATGCTTAATAAAAACCTTACTAAGCACTAATAGATATCCTTATTAGTTATGTGTAAATGACTTATATTTTATCCTAAACTGAAGTGTTACCCTAATTTTTTTCAACTTAGTAATTACATATGTATAGATCACTTTAGTGCTTTATTGTTACATGAACAGATATACAAAGATGTTGTCAGGATCGTCTGTAATTTAAGAGGATATAACAAAATAAACTGAGGGAAGTGTGAGACTATGTCTCCTCTCAGCAGCCTCGTGTTGGATTAATACTTGGCACTGGTGTCTCTGTGTTCATTGAATCTCAGTATTTGCAGTAATGGAGGCTTCGAACATAAGACAGCATGGACCCCACAGACGATCAATGCTGTGCTTAGAAGCTCCACATCCTCAGATGCATTAACCAGATTAGCACAAAGCAGCTGACTCTCTCTAACGCGTGGGCTTTCGGGGACACCAGGGTCGGAAGCTTGGGGGCAGCTGTCCTCTCTGCCCGGAGTTTCAGGGTCCGGCCTCGGATACTGCTCCATGTGGCTGCGGTGGGTGGACGGTGGGTCGGACGGTCCATCCTGCTGCCTGTTGTTCAGCCGCTCCGCCAATGAGAGGCCGACTGCCTCTCAGTCCCGGTCCAATGAGAGCGGCCGGGTCTGGACCCAGATCGGGAGTTGGGTTGTTCAATCTGAGCGGAGGACAACAAGCAGCTCGCCCTGAGTGAACCGGATGGATGGATGTTAGCGATGGTAACGTTATCCAGCTGTTTTTTTATTACATTATCAGATGTTAGAAATGTTCCAGCGCCGCACACGGAGGCCCGGTGGCGACGTGACGTCCCACTCCCTTAACCGGCTTTCTGCGGTGAATGTCACCGGGGAGTTTGAGAACGATTAACGGCGCAGCGAGCTAGCGAGCTAAGCCGCGCATCGTTAGTCAACGTTAGCGACCAACAACCACCGACAGGTTAACTTCGATTGTCCCCAGCGAACGCGTTAGCCGCGCAGCTAACGTTAGCCACTAGCTTACAACATAAATATTGGCTGCTCGGTTCCGGGAGAACCGTGTGTGTTTGAACAAAGTGCGGTATTCGGTGACTAGCGGCAGAAGGCTCGGTGCCCTGTGCCCGAGCCGCTGGGGCTAGCAGTTAGCAGCGGTAGCTAACTTATCGGCTGCTGCTCAGCCTCAGAGCAACAAAGTTGTCGGGTGTTCGCGGAGAGTGGCTCCGTGACTGCTCTTTGTTCTGTGTTAACATGGTGCTGGGAGAGTAGCTTAGCATGGCGACAAGAGCCAGGCAGCCCGAGACACACAACAGGCTTTAACCCGTCAGTGAGGAGGTTACAACAGTGATTAACATTTCCAGACGCGTTAATACACCGTTAACACGCAGCGGCAGTAGCACAGCATAGCGTGGCGAGATTTACATGCGTGACTAACTACAAACCAGTGGCGTCGACTTACAAGTTGTTTGTGTGTTTTTTTCGTCTTGAGGTTAGTTTTCAAAGTAGTGGATGATTCACACAAAGGAGAAAACAATAAACAGGAGGAAGGAAGTGTGCAGCACAGCGCTGGTTCTGGCGAGGGAGACAATTACATGAATTAACCACATCAGTTAAATGGACAGGCAGCAGCTCTCCTCATGTCAATATCTCTGCAGCTACATGAGCATCCAACCAAGTGCAAACCAGCAGCATCAGACCCAACATGTGATTCAGTTACTGAAGTTACAGTTGTGTTTACTTGGAAAGCAATAATCATATTCTGCATATTTAGATTGTGATGTTTACATGATCTGCAGGAGTTATACATGTGAACTCGCTTGTGTCCCAGTCAAGATGCTTCTTCAGATATAAAAGAGGACCAGTGTGAGGTTTCAGGTATTTCACCTCTGGTTTTCTTTTTTACGTGTTTAGAGTGGAAACCTTCCATCAGTCAGTTAAAGCTGATTAAGCCTCTTGGATCAGACACAACAAGGAAATCCAGTTACCTACGTACACGTGTTCTACTCCTGTAGATACCGTGACCTGGATGTGATGTTTTCATGACTTGCTAAAAGATTTCATTCATATTCCTGTTTGCATGTTGCAGAGCGTAGTCTGATTATCACATCTATTATTTTGGTCACTGCTTTGGACTGTGTGATAGAACATAATCAATCATGAACGCAGTGTAATTTTCATCAATAGCAATATAAAAAAAGTCCAGTATATATCTAGAATGTGACTAAGATCAGAATACTCCACATATATTCATCTGATTGTTGCTTATTCTGAGTCCGACCTTATTCCAGCAAAGGTGTTGACATGGCGGTGTCTTATTTAGACTCTTAATCGGGTTAGTATCAGAATATTGTGAGAGGATCATGTTATCAATGAACATTATAATTATCACCAGCATATGTATGAATCAGTTTCTTAGTAACCATATTATTTTTAATTTGTACTTTAACATCTGCTTATGATTTTCTGCCAAATAGTAGGTAGAGTTTAATTGTGGAGCTCAATGTTGCATACAATATGTGCCACCCACCTCAAAATCGCTGGCAAGGAGTAACTACTACCACATGTAAACACATAATGGTTCACATTCATCAAGTGTTTTAGTTTTATGCTTCTCTAGAGTCGAAAGTAAAATCACAGTGAACAGTGACACTCAATCTTGTGTAGATGTTTTGCAGCCATGCTCAGTTTTCAGGGTCTTGAATTCTTTTAATAACTGTTTACATTATTATTGTGTTTGTGAATATTAGAAAATAAAAAATAGAAAATTAGGAGAAGTTCACAAAATATAAGCCTTTGGATTTCAAAAACCTAAACATAATGTTGGGTGTCCTTTCATGTCCTTCAAATGGAGAAATGGAAAATCACCACTTGTCTCCCAATTTACCCAAAAAACAGTTTGTAAAATAGAAAAAGGTTTTGATACAACGTTGTCCTAATCTTGCAGAACTTTCCCGTTGTGGCTGGTGGTGACCGTGGTCATGGGTGATGAAGCAGAATAATGCTGTTGAGTTCTCTACAGAAACCTGATCAAGCAAGCTACATTTACAGTAAGTTTGTCTTTTTAATTTTCTTTCAATGTCATTGTTCCCTTTAGAATTTTAGAGCTGATCTTTCTATTAACCTTGTGAATTAATATTTGTGTCCCTGGATAAATGCCCTGTTGCTTCTTAGGCAACAATAAAGTTAAAAATAACACAACGCTGTGTGAGAATCAGCAGGAGGAGCCTCTCTCCTGCCTGCAGACTGTGCGTACGCTTGTGAGTGTGTCTGCTCATTTCTGTGGCTCTTCAGACACAAACTGACAATCACATATTTTGAGTTAATGATTGATGGATTCTTTTTGTGAATCCGGGTCGTTTCGGTCCACTTTAAGCCCAATGACCTGGCTGTGCGGCAGGTGAACTGCTGCAAAATGTTCGTAGCAGAAACCCAAAATATTTATACATAACAGTGTTTTTAGGTTTATTAATTTTACCAGTTCAGACTGATAAAAATGTCAAGAACACCTTAATAACTGTAGATCTTAAACTTTCTTTCTTGTCTTTCCCTGTAACTGTATCACAGAATGAGTTGCT